GGTGATCGGCCAGCAGATTTGCAGATTTTGTGTGCACACAAATATTTAGTGGGAGGAGGGTGAGACTTGCTGCTAACCTCTAATGGCACCATCATTTTAGAGCAGTAGTCTTCAACCTTTTCTGACTCAGAACGGCACCCCCCTCCCCGTTTTAACCCAAGTATGCACTTGGAGACTCATTTCTTTAAAACCATGTTTATAGGGTGCTGGTACTGCTGTTGCAATCTCTTGAATCAGGCTGCGCCCAAGTAGTGGGTTCTGACCCCCCAGCTGGAAGACCAATTAACCATTTACTCTTTTTTTGAGATTTTTAAATTCTGCCTTTTGTACAAAACACTTTCAGCTAATGCTTTCCAGTTGTTGTTGTTGTTTTTTTAAAAAAAGAAAATGCACAAAATAACTCCATCCCCTCCCGGATGCCATCAGTAATAACCTAGCACTGGGGAGAAGAAAAGCAAGCCTCCATCTCCCCATCCAACCTGGACATACATACACCTCTGTGATGGGACTGTGGAAGAGAGTTGAGCTATCAGAAAAGATGGCCGCAAGTGCGGGTGACGGATCTGTGTTGAAGTCATGAAAGAGGGAGAGTAGAGAAGGGCATCTCCTTGAGCGTCCTTAATAAACTGCAGTCTCCCAAATATTTGAGTGCATGTACTTTGTAAAGTTCCCTTCCAAGAGGCTTACGGTCTATAATTCAACACAGGAGGAATGGGATGGGAATGGAGATGGGTAAACAGGGAAAATGTGTCTATTTTATTTTACTTGTGCTTAAGTTTGTTCCCCTCTGCCCATTCACAATTACTGAAGAAAGAAGGGAGTTGATGAGGGAAAGGCACAGACGTGTCAATATGAACTTCCTTTTCACCAACTGACTGTAGAGAAGTTCTCTAGCCATAGTTTTTGCCACAGCACTCAGTGCATAGGGCTTTGGGATCATAAACACAGTTTCCCTTCTTTTCTAGAATTAGGCACTCTCTTATATGATGTGACTATATTTTTGTCTTATCCTTAGGCAAGCTAATAATAAACCAAGTGAACCTGCAGTGGAATTGGAATCAAACAAGAACCTAGCTACACCTAAGCAAAAGAACAAATTTTGTGGTAAGCCCTGTGTATTCAAATTAGGCTAGTGATTTCTTTTCCATAAGGAACCATTCAAATACCCTAGGCTTGTAACTAAAGAGATTCCAGAGTATAGGGTCTGAAGGCATGTGAGGCTGCTACCTAGCTGGACCTTGGCAGATCTCATGGGAACACGTGTGCCATGGGGGTCTGTGAGCTAGAAGAAATGTAATGAAAGTAAAGAGTTATCCAAAGGGAGCCTGTGGAGGCCTGGTTTCAGGGATACTCCAGGCTCTCTTAACCAGTTTTCTTTAAAAAGAAGTAATAGTCTTTCTTGTGTGAGCCTTTGCATATTTACTCAGAAGTCAGTCTCATTGTAATAGAGCTTATTCCCTGGAAATTGTGTTTAGAATTGCAGCCTAATAAGTAAATCTGTTCTTCCAGTGTTTTGACCAATCGGTACAAAGAAAATAACTGGGAAACACATTTATTTAGAAATTGAATAAAAATATTTTTAATTGATAGTTCATACAGTTGAATAACTTACAACATCTTGGGCTATCCAAATATAGGTTGAAGCTGTTCTGCACCCCCTGCCCTTAAAAACCTTTATATACTGCCTTTCTGTCTAGAAAAAGGTTCAAGGCAGCTCACAAGTTTCATAAAAACAGTTTAAGAAAAACAAATAACAGGCAGAATGAAAGCTGAAATAAAATCTAGTAAGCAGCTCCAATTTAAAGCCAGGAGCAAAACAAAACAATTGCTTATTCAACACACCTAAAGGCTGCTGGAATGAAAAATGTCTTTGACTTCATTCGGGAAGGGGGTAGGTTCTGGAGCCTAGAGGCAACCAGCTACACGATATACCACCATCAGTTGAACATCAGATGGTGGGACAAGCAGGAGGGTGGCCCTAGTTGATATTGAAGGAGGCGGCAGCCCTTTGGATAATTTGTTCTCAAGGCGGGCACCATGTTGGCTGCCCCGGCCTAAGGTCATATCCAGTACATTGAATTTGGCCTGGAAATGGACCAGAAACCATGGAAGTGGGTATGAACTGAGAGAGTGATGACAATTTATCCTGATAAGGAGTTTCAGAATTTGGGAAAACTTGTTTCTGGCAATCTGATTGCATTATCTGAAAGTAACTGTTCAGATGCATATATCAAATTCTGCTATGCAGAAAGGCCAAAAGCTTGCATTCACCAGTGATGGAAGTTTCTATTGCATTCAGATATAAATCACTGGGTCCAGTGAGAACTCTTCATTCATAGAAGTGTGGTCCTCAGTTCTGCATTTTCATCCTTTTACGCCTGAATGAATTTGTAGACTCACTATCCGTGTGAAATTGCCAATCATATACTGTGTTTTCAGATGATGATTATATGGCTTCACCCGCTGCACCTGAGTTCTGCACACCTGGCTTGAAGATTCCCAGCAGAAAGGATGCCATATCCCCAGAGAGTAATAAATTGGATGCCTCTAATCATATGACAGAAACTTCTCTTCCAGATACAGAGTCTCTGATAACAAAACCTAAAGTAAGCACTGAGTTTTTATTTTGTAAATGAAATGGGTCTCTTAATGGGACTTCTGCACCGTGCTGTACTCATAGGAAAGGCTTTTAACAATGAAGATCTTCAAAGGATGTCTTAACTGCATGATTTTTAAAATTAAAAAAAATTGTCCTTGTATTTCATTATCTGAACATTGCAAATCTTTGGGGTTTTTTCCTTACAGCAAACATGTGTCCCAAATAATACAGTTGTTGGATACGGCACTGTTCCACCTGTCCCTCATTCAGACAAGTATCTGGAGTGTCTTGAACCCCCTTCAGCAGCACTGGATAGGCTTGAAGAACTGCCACCTCCAGAAATATCAGATTACAGTAGCCTGTTCAGTTCTCCTCCTCCTCCTCCTGAAATAACCGTGATTCCAAGGCAGATTTCTCAGGTGAACAAGTTAAACCTTCCTGCTGCTAATGCCGATTTTGACATTTTTGCCAGCAAATTGTTTTCCTTGTGCATGGAAAGTATAAAACTTGGAAAGGTCCACGCTTCTCTAACATCATCTACTTAATTATTATTATTTTTTGTTACAGATCTTGTCAAAATACAATCCAAAGGTAGAAGCATACAGATCACTGGAAAAGGGGACTCGTGTAGGAATTGCTACACAGTTTGAAAAACAGCCTGTTCTTGATACCGGGAACAAAGAAAACAGGTGAGATTTGAGCATGAGGTATCCCACACACACCCCTGGCTTTTCCAGACACTCGGTGGAAGTAGCATTGTACTATGTGCAGGCATATGAGGCACTCGCTGCCCCTTGCAAAGGCCTGGAATTAGTAGGTAGATTTGTGGCATGGTGTCCAAAGAACAGGACCCCTACTCATCCCTGCCTCTTGCTGTATAAGTGGGTTTGCACCCAGCCACAATTCCAACCCACCACATGGCATCAATGAAAGCTAGCTGCCTGGGAACTCTCCTGCAACCAGTCATAGTTCTTGGAAACACTGTGTGGATCTGGAGCTACTGCCAATATCTTGTTGAAGTTATAAGATTCAGTATATATTAAGAATAGCTCTGGATCAGGCCAGTGGCCTGTCTAGCCCAGCATCCTGTTCCCACAGTGGTCAACCAGATGCCTATGGGGAAGCCCAAAAGCAGGATTTGAGCATAATAGCACTCTTCTGACTTGAGATTCCTTGCTGCTGGCATTCAGCGGCAAACTGCGGCTGACACCAAGAGCCTTATCAGTGTCTAATAGAAAGGAGGACAGACTGAAAGGTGGGATTGGGCTAATTGAAAATCCCATTACTCAAATCAGCTCTCGTTGCCTGGGCATGACCCAGGTTTATTGGAGGAAAAGGTGAACAGGAGTTCAAAGACTGGTAAAGAAGGAATGCAATGTGTTTCCACTTTCAGACTTAGCAGTTCAATACAAGAGTGAATTTTTAGACATTTAAAAAACAAAACAAAAAACAAGATGGCTGTCCTTTAGTCAAGACCCCTATGAAATGAATACAAATGGGCATGTTTCAATGGAAGTCACTTGAACATAGTGCCAATATTATAATTTAACTGCTTTGTTTGTTTTTTGATTACATTTGCAGAAAGTAATATGGATGAAGGCTATGACTTGGCTTTTTAGAGGCTGCTATAATGAAGATTGTCCAGCAAACTCCATGGGAAAATATCAGAATATTTATTTCTAACCGTTTGGCAACCAGTTTAACTAAAACTATAGTCTCTTCTTTCATTTCCCCAGAGACCCCCAAATACATTATGAAAACCTGTATCTCCATGCTAATGGAAGTTAGGACTGCATTTATTAAATATTTGTTTAAATTCTGCTTGTGAGCTGATACGTAAGGATTGTAGAAGCGAGGGGGAAACAGTTAAGAGTGGCCTACTCTGCTGCCCTGCTCTTAAACTAAATTGATCTTTGAATCCACCCTCCCCCTGCCCGCAAATTTTCTGCATATTTTTAGGACTGCAGGAGTTGCCATTGTGGTTTTTTTAATTTGATATTTTTTTTTAGATGGAACATTCAGGATTGTAAGTGTTCATACTTAACCATGGTCTGTTACCGGTGTTTCAACATAGTATTAAGAAGGCATCCACATATGTGCTGTAGAGGGGACCCTGGAGCAGATTTGAGAGGCTGCAGAAGTCCCACTGTACAATACCCCATATTTTTGTTATGGGCAAAACCCCCACTAACGTTCCAACTAAAGCAATCCTGTTCTATCATGATTGAGAATGTTTTCAATTTTATAGCAAGCAATTCATGAGAGAATCACATCTTCAGTCTATAGCATGTGATGTAATGTCTAGACAAAAGGGCAGGTGGGCAATCAAGCAACAGTAAAACTTCCAGCTTTTGTTTTTGATAGCAACTGCTATCATTGTCATGAAACACATTTTACAAAGCTATGTCACTGCTTTTATTTTTACAAGTTTTAAAAAATAAAATTATTTAACAAGAACTTAATTATATCAAGACAGTCATACAGCTGTGGAAACAATGGATAACCTTGCTGTGGAAGATTTTTTAGAAATTCCCATTTTAAAGGATGTAACTTCCAGTTGAAGCGACAATGGCATTTTAAATTGGGAATACGTTAAGTGGTTCAAATCCTTTCGTAGTCAAATACAGTCAAAACCAGAAGCAAAAATAGTAGCCCTCCTGGTCGCACTTACACATCAGTGAATAAAATAGGGTGTAATATTACAGGTGTTAAGCTGCCATGATTTCCTTCTCTTATGACCAATTTCAGGATGCTTTTCAACAAACCTTGACACTTCTGTCCATCTGATAGTGTAAGTCCTACTACAGCTGTATTAGGGTGAATATTTTTGCACAATGAATATGCAATTATTGAGCACAGATGTTGCGCTCACCGCATTGGCAATCCCATCATCTACACCCAATACTTTGTACCTGGGAAAATGCAGCTCTCCCAGATTGCGTTGTAGACTCTGATTTCTGACAAAATAGGTACTTTATGGATGTTCAAAAAGTAACCCGATTTCTTAAAAGGCAATCTTACAGTGTGCTTATGAAATACCTCTCATTTAATCTTTCCACACTACAGGCTGGCCTTACAATATATACGGTTTCAAATACCTCAAGACTGCTTGTGGTGTTTTAGCCAAACATTACACACTTTAAGAAACACTGCAGTGTCTGGTTTTCAGCTATTCAGAAAAAGAAAACCTAGCAGAGAGCACCCTTCTAAAAATATACAGTAACATAATTTCAGTATTTCTACAGCTTAACAGCTTTTCTAGTATTTTCACTTTGCATTAAAAAAAACAAGCCGTTTGTAATCTGTATGACCATGTAGTGTTGGTCATTAGAAGAAAGCAAAATATTAATAAGGTCTCATGCGACCTGATGGAGGTGGTGCTCGATTTGGGGGAGTAATTGCTATGTCCAGGTAATCCCCTATCTGGAACTTCTGAGACTGCAGAGTCATGGAATCATCTGTGCCCTTTCTGCCTGACATTGTACTGCCAATCTCTTTCACCCTGTAAAAAGAAAATAAGACCAAAATATGAACATGAGCCATATCTTTGTTCCACCTAGTCAAGTACTGTCTCCTGTGATCAGCAGCAGTGGGTTTGGTAGCTTTAAATTAGAGACACTTAGAAAAGTGCAGATATAAGTAAAGGTGACTGCCAACTTACATGGGGATAAAACCAAAACCACATATAGTAAACACACTGCGTGCAACGGGGGGGGGGGGGGTTGAATTTCCAAAGGTTTTATTTTCCTGGATGTCCACCCTGTTTTTACACACCCCTTTTAAAAAATTCTACGCACATAAAGTTGAATGTGCACAAGTTAAATGTGTTTACGTTGTGATTTACCTGTACTTATATGCCCTTTTGCGGAAAGGGAGGGACCTAATTACATAATAAACTTCCCATTTACAGCCTAGGTGTTCAGATTACAGCATATATGGGCACTTACTAATACATGTTTTAAGATTTTAGAAGCTAATGCACAATTTCCAGTGTATTATAATTCCTATGAAGAATTTCATTAGAACTTTTCAGATTTTGCTACAATTTGCATCTACTGACTCCAGACAATTACCTGTAACCAGGCCTTTTAAGATCTGTGAAGACTATTGCAAAGTTAAAATGTGTGCCCTTTTTCCTTGCTTCTGGGTAGACTTCTTTCACTAAACTGGTCAGTTCTTTTAGAGTTGCATCCATCCTGGAAGAAAAGCAGCATTATAAGTCATATAGTATCCCTAGATTTTAACATTGTGATATTAAGTCAAAACTCTTAAGAGGTCAGTGAACTGCATCAAGAACTACATCTCATTTTAGAGATTTCACAAAGGATTAGTCTGAGTTTATTTTATATAGGACAAAGAACTATTAGACTATGGCTATGCCATAACCTAAAATCCAGAATGAGTGTCTTGTTGTTCAACTGCTCTTTGTCGATTTGCAGAACACTCATGCAAAAATCAACAGCATTAGGAGCAAGAAACATAACTGTAATTTTGCATCTTGGTCACATTCCAATTTGGACCAGGGCATTTGCTGGATGAGAAGTGCCGTATGAGACACTCCTCCTGACCCAGCAAGCACTCTGGGCTAAAAAATAGGCTGCACTGCATTCACAAAGGTGCTGTAGATACAAGTCTCCTCATTCAACAGATGGCCCATAAGAAATGGGAGGACAACCAAGAGACCTTACGTCATTGTTCCACAGGAAAAAAGCAGTACTGGGAAGTTCTCTCAACTGGCTGGTACAATGGTACCTCGGGATGCGAACAGGATCTGTTCCGGAGCCCCATTCGCATCCTGAACGGAATGTAAGACGAAACAGCGCGTCTGCACGTGCCACATTTTGCCACTTCCGCGCATGGCGCCACTTTGAGCGTCTGCGCATGCGTGAGCGGCGAAACCCAGAAGTAACGCACTCCGTTACTTTTGGGTTGCCATGGAGCGCAATTCGAACGCACTCAACCCGAGGTATGACTGTATTTGTCAGTGACGAGGACTGCAGCAAACAAAGAGAAAGTGCTGGATGCATTCCACAAGTGCCCTACTCCAGACTCTCTAAAAGAAGAGGTGGGAGAGATTCTGGGCCTTCTGAGGCAAAAATATCAAAGCTTCACCAGTTGATGTTTGGCCTTTCATCTAGCAATGAAAAAAGCAGCCTCTGTCCAGTGGAGGGATGTGTGGCAACCCACCTTCAGTTACCACACCAAAATTGCTACAAGTGGAGAAGTGCAGCTCAGACCGCTGCCACTCACCAGGTATAGATCTGCAGTTCACTGGAAGGTACGTTTCCACGGGCAAACTCATCCATTCGGTGATGGCGCCCATTATTGGTGGTGAAGACCCTCAGAAGGAGGGGGCAGGTCTGTAAGGCAAAGAAGAGACCACCATTCACTTGCTGCAAAGCAAGCAATGAATGACAACAAACCCAACTAACTTAGATCACATATAAGAATTGTTTTGTTTTCAACCTACATTTTTATACAACACTTTTAAATTCTTTCTTATGACCAAGTCCTTAATGTAAGACTAATGTAAAGACTATCCTTTAATCAATACTTACAGCTAAAGTTATCAAAGGGGGAAAATATTTCAAGAGCTAAGATTAAATTTGAGATTGTTAAGTACTCTTAAAAAATAATTTCTAAAATTTAATTGCATTTTTTCTTTTAATTTTGATAACAAAAAGCCAACACCTTATATACATTAAAATGGAGCAGGGATCTGTTTAATCTATGATAAACCATTTTGAGGCATTTTTTTTACAATGAAGAAGTGTATAAATGTTATGAAATAAATAATAACAAAAGTTGGCCCTTTCTGTAACATTTGTTATTATTTATTTCATAAACTTTATATACCATTTGACTAAAAAACCTCAAGGCACTTAAGTGGAACCTTTTTTAAATCTAGAGGTACTTAGAATTTTCTTCATATGTAACGGACTTGTGCTTGGGCTACAAAACACTGTAGGTTATAATTACAAAGTTTAGCAAAAACTGTGGCTAAATAAAGGTTGAGACTTTACTTAATTAACTGCTCAAAATATGTTCCAATCAATTCACCTGCATAACATGTGAGTCGTTATTTTATGTCAATTCTCTTATAGTGTAAGAGGCAGTGCTGCTGTTTTATGTCTTGATATTTCTTATTTACATTGTCTTCTGCATGCGAATCTCTTCTGTACTCTCATTCCTTCTGTACTTTTATTACTGTTTTGCATCTACATATTAAAAAAATAATCTATTGCATCTTAGCTCTTTCCCATTAGACATAATATCCCATGGATATAAAAGCAAGCCAAAGTGGAAAAACTGAAGTTTGGTATTGGAAGCCGGGGGGGGGGGGAAGAGACCGCTTGTGTAGACACACCCCTCCCCACTTTTTCCAACACCACTTAGACAACTTATCTAAACGAGCGTTTCTTCAGCCATAAAATAGGACACACACACACACACACACACACACGTAAACGGTATGGTTGAGAGAAAGGCATCCCTTAGTTCACCAATGCTAAACACTGAACGTCTGAGTAGGCCATCACGAAGGGTCTCCCAACAGGTGAACCAGCCCTCCCTGTGAAGCATACATGCTGCTGCAAACGCGGGCGTGTAACGTGTGAACGCGCCCTCCCGCCTCTTCCCCCAGCTCCTCCCCACACCTTCTCACGATCGATAGGCTTCTCGGGCTCCTTCTTAATCTCCTCCTGAGTAACGCGAGACTCCACCGCCATCTTGCTGTCTGGTCGGACCGACCTCGTGGAAGCGACCCAGCGAAGCGAAAGGGGAGAAGCGGCAGCCTCTGCGCCAAGGCTCCGGTTCCAACCCACAAGCCGCACCTTCCTCCCCGCCGCAAGTTCTCCCCCACCCCAAGAGCCCGGACGTCCCCTCTACCCGCCTCTTCAGGCTCTGCTGAAGCAAGATGGCGGCGCCCACGGGCGTCAAGCTTGCTTTTGGAACCGCGGCGGCGGCGGCGGCGGCGCAAGTTCTCGCGAGGTCTAAGAAACAAAACGTTGGGCTTCAGAGGCGAAGCTCCTTCGAAGTGGCCAATAAGGATTCGCTCCGCGATGGAGGCGCGGAGATCCTGGGCGGAGATTGGGGCGCGCGGGGCTGGGGGCGGGTCAAGAGTTGCGGTTGGGAGAACTGAAAAGAGGCTGGGGGCTGTTTGTGAGGCATTCTGCCGCGGGAAACGCGGGCTTGGTGGGGACGCGTGTCTGGAGGTGCAGGTTCACACGTTCAACCCCCTTTGTCACTCGGACGCGCATTATACGCCTAAAACATTTAGTAATTGAAAGCTTTCATTTTATATGCACTGCAAAGAGTACACACGCCCAATATATATCATCGTCATTACAATTACTCTTTGTTACCCAGCCTTCACCCCAACGTCCCAGGGCAAGTTACAACAGTTAAAACGTGGTATGAAAAACAGTTTAAAACGACTTAAAATTACCGAAGTGAAGTGGGTCCTAAAAACACGCATCTGGAGTGTCAACTACATGATTTGTAAGCCGCAGTGGTTTATAGAGCGTCGGTGTTAGGATAGTGTCAGTTCCATGCGTCAAAACACCAGCTTTGATCGCACTTCAGTGCCCTCACAGTATCTCCCTAACCCCTTGCATTTACAAGTAGTAATCATTTTTACTGCTGGTAAAACTGTTCCAATAAAAAAATTCATATACGTGTAGGAAGAAAGCAACTCCCAAGTATCACAATTCAGCAAGCACAACGATCTGTGGGACTTGTTTTCTTTTTGCATAACAGATGCAATTTCATTTCTCAATGAAATGTTCACCAAAAGAAAAAATACAGGAAAATATGCTGACTCTAAGTCTGCCTTGAGTTCCCAGCATGAGGAAAACACACTATATTGTACAGCATGGGTGGGATGACTTTAGTTTTGTGTGACATACTTTTCAACAATCAAACTTATAAAAGACTTAATCTGGGTAGGCACCTTTTGTTATTGGATAGTGGGCCTGTGCCTTTAAATGGCTAACTGGCAGTCAGAAATTCAGCTGTACATCTTTTATGAGCAATTCAATTTGACATTGTTAGCTAAGTTTCACAGGAGCTGCAATGTAACCTTGAGGCATTGTCTATGCAAATCATTTTACAGAGAATTTCCTTTTACTGGATACTAGCAATTGTTGATGTTCTGGAGTACTTTGTGGATAAGCTAGAGGGCACTCAAGTATATTTCCATGCTTAGCTGCATAAGGAAGTTGCAGACTCAGAAGGCACTGCATTAAACAACCAATTTTATTGCTGTTTCTTTCCTAATTGAAGAGAGAGAGAGTGTGTGTAACATGTTTACACCTGTAAAGTGTTCTTCATCTTCTTGGAAGGTAGTAGAAGTCTCCATATTGCTTTGGCAAAAGCTGTTGGGACTTCCATGGCTCTGCCTGCCATTTCCCCCAATCCTTTTCTCTGAAGCTCTGTGGCACCTTAAAAGACTAAATAGATTTTTTATGTAGGGCAGTTCTCTTTCTTCTGGCAGGTAACCCTCCCTGAGAAATGTAATCAAGAGACACCAGTTTGTTCTTTCGCAACGTTCTTGTAATATATATCTCATTAATGCTGAGGCCTTTAGTGACAATATTTCTTTCCTCTAATAATAGCTCTTCGGAAGTATTTTAGGAATCTGTCATGCAATTAAGGATGTGCTTTGTTCAGAATAAAAAAAAAGAGGGGGTTGATTGTTTATAGTAGTAAATGTGTGTTTTAAAAGAGGGGGGGTGGAGTAGGGACACAGGAAATCAATTCCTCATACGGCATGAATCACTTACATTCTTGGCAACCAAGTTCAAGTTTACAAGAATGCTCAGTTTGATCAACTTCCTTCAAAATATTGTAAGCTGAGAGCACAAAAGTGGTTGGGGAGAACAGAACAGGAGAAAAAAGATACATGCATGGATCTGTGTAGAAGGCTTAACAAATGACAAGGAAGCAGTTAATGTAGTAAATGTTCTTGCTCAAAATATGTTGCAAATTTACTGTTGAACTAGTGGTCAGGTGAGAGAAGAGCAAAAACGTATCCTCCTCCTAAAGCTTTTTTGCATTGCAGAAATGGGAGAAGAAGTGAGAGCTGAAAAGCAAGTTCACATTTTGAATGTGTTGCCCATTATGATTCTGCTTAAAGGCATTATTTTGCCCATTACTAAGAGGCAGAAGACAGAAGTGCCTGGTGTGCTCTGGTCCATGGGGTCACGACTAAACGACCCTGGTGGTGGGAACATCCCATGCCTGGAGTTCTGCTAATGAGACATTCATGTTGAAAGAAAAAGATATTGCACGGTGGTAGAAGATCTGCCTTGTGGGCAGAAGGTCCTAAATTCAATCTGCAGGTAAAGCTGGAAGAGACTCAAACCCTGGAGAGCTTCTGCCTGTCACTGAAAGCATTGCTGAGCTTGAGGGACAAATAGGCTGATTCAGTATAAGGCAGCTTCCTATGTTCCTGAGTTTTTTGTTCCAGAAAGGAGGGATTGCATGTTCTGTTGGTTTTCCCCCAGCTCCTTTGCTCCTTGAAAATCTGCTCTGGAAGGTTTGGGGACCCTCCAGAGAAGCATGAGAGGCAGTGGGTGGGGAGAAGAGATTGGCCAAAAGAATCTGCCTCTGCTGGATCCAAATTCCATCCTTGAATGGGAGCACACAGAGGACTAGTTGGGATCCGAGGCATATTTTTATAGATTTGGTGTCGCTCCATGTACTGTTCCATTTCCCCCATCTCAAAAAAGGATATCATAAAAGCTCTGCATCTCCTTTACATCTGCAGGTGTAGCAGTGGACGTACTGGACCGTTGTCTTTCCTTGGTAATGGGCTGGATGAGAGCCAACAAACTGAAGCTCAGAGAGGATAAGACTGGAGCACTCTTTGTGGGTGGTCATGGTCTAGAATGGATGGGAGGTGACCTGCTCTTGCTGAGGTTACTCTCCCACAGGAAGGAGCAGGTATGTAGCTTGGGGGTACTTCTGAATTCATTGCTGTCCTTTGACGATCAAGTGGCCTTGGTGGCTGGAGTGCCTTGCATAAGTGGCCCACTGTTGTCTATACTCTGGTAATCTCTAAGTTAGATAACTGAAATGTGTTGTATCTGGGGCTGCTTTGCGGAATTCAGCAATGTATTTAAATGAGGTATTATAAAATTCTAGAATAGAATAACATAGTAATTCTTTCCTGAATAACTAGGTTGGGAAGGGGTAGAGGAGAAGAGCTTTGCCAGAGCTCTTTGTCCACCATGGAGACCCCCACTATACTTGTGTGAAATCCTTTGGGCATAGATCTACTGCTGGCATTAACTAGTGTTAAGCCCTGAAACTGGGCATTCCAGGGGTGGGACAGAATCAGCCCTAGATCTGTTTGATCCATGGAGACTGGTTCATTAGGGCATATGGGGCAGTGCCCCACCAGTGTCAAGCTTTTTATTTCTTGCCATCTTGCTGCCGTCAGAGTGAGGTCTTCTGGTCATTCTGATTTAACTAGGTGACCTGCTTTATTTTAGACAGCCCAAATGGACTTGTAATCAGCCAGAAGGGCTGCTGTGTGAGGTTAAAGTATTTACTGTTATTTTAATGCTTGTCTTTCTGCCAGCAAATGCCTTAAGTCACTGCCAACAATGCTTTCTTATGTATGTTTACCCATAAACAAGACCCACTGTGTTCAGTGAGGCATACGCCCAGGTAAATGTGCCTAGCATTGCAGTCTGAATGAAGCAACTCTATTCTTAAGCTTCCATATACAGTGGTGCCCCGCAAGACGAACGCCTCGCAAGACGGAAAACCCGCTAGACGAAAGGGTTTTCCGTTTTGGAGGTGCTTCACAAAACGAATTTCCCTATGGGCTTCCTTCGCAAGACGAAAGCCCATAGGGAAATCTCCGGGACAGCGGGGAAGCGCAGCGCGTCTTCCCCACTGTCCTCGGACCTCCTCCGAAGGCTGGCAGCGGTGCGGAGAGACCTCCTCCCACCACCAGGCTTCGGATGGATGCTCCGAAGCCTGCGGCGGGGAGGAGGTCTCTCCGCCCCGCCGCCAGGCTTCGGAAGGCTGTTCTGAATGTTGGCGGTGGGGAAGAAAAACCCTCCTCCCACCGCAAGCCCGGGAACAGAGGAGAAGCGCTGCGCGCCTTCCCCTCTGTTCCCGTACCTGTCCTGAAGGCTTGCGGTGGGGAGAAAAGCCCTTCTCCGAACCGCCAGCCTGGCAAGCAGTTTCCATAGGAACGCATTAATTGATTTTCAATGCATTCCTATGGGAAACCGTGCTTCGCAAGACGAAAAACTCGCAAGAAGAAAAAACTTGCGGAACGAATTAATTTCGTCTTGCGAGGCACCACTGTAAATCACTCAGAACTCAATTTATTGATACACACAAAAACATTTTAATATTTTTAACTGTTAATTTTAATTGTTCTCAGTAGTTTTTACTGATAATTTTAATATTTATTGTAAACCACTTTGAGGCTTTATTACAATCAACAGTGTGTAAATTTTGATAATTAATTAAAAGGAGAACTAAGGTGGCAGTTCTGGCTCTTCTCAGGAAGGCCCCCACAACTAACAAACCAAGCTAAACTCTGGAGCCAGCCATAGCTTTGAGCTTAGAAATCTGTCTAATGCAGTAGTTTGCAAACTCTCACACACACACCAGTCCTATTGAAAACTGCTGAAGGTCTTGGCGGACCACTTAGGGTATTTCTGCCCACAGCAGTGATTGTGATACCCTGTACTATATGCTGTATGATTTTAAACTCTATTTTTTGACACTTTTATTTTTTTCTATACTGTATTTTGTAAAGAAATAGAATTCAAATTGTAATAAAGGTAAAGGTACCCCTGCCCGTACGGGCCAGTCTTGCCAGACTCTAGGGTTGTGCGCTCATCTCACTCTATAGGCCGG